CCCCACGCAGCGCCTTTTCTGCATCCGTCCGCCTCAGCCCAGCCTCCTGCCCGCCCGCCCCGGGTATTCGATCCGACCCCCAGGTCGGCATATGGGGCCGATCTGCAGCCTTGCCCGGTCTCCGGTGCCCGGGGGCCGTTGACGGCCTCGGCGGGCCTCCCTGGGGACTCAGAGGGCAGCGGGCGCGACCTCTGCGCCGGTTGCCTTCGATCTGATTTCGTGGAGACTGAGTGGGCAGAGGTAAATAAATGACTTGTGACTTTTGCTGTCAACTCTTTTTCGAATCCGCTGTCTGCTTGTCTTGACTGCAGAGGAGAGAAGTTCCCTAAAGTTTAGGCATCGGCTTGTTTGAAGTCTGGTGCTATTTTGTTTTGATGGAGAACTTGGATCACATCGGTCACTGAGCAAGCAGGCAGGCTGGCCCTCGGGATACCAGAAGCCACACACCTTGCTAGGGTTTCCATCTGTGCCATGGCTGGGTTGTTTCAGGAACAGACTCATGAGGATGTGGCTCTTCTCCTAGCCAAGAGCTTCACTCAAGTCTGGGAGCTGCCAGCCTGGTTGGGAGGAGGCCGAGATCAGAGTGTCTGCTCTGCAACTCTCCCTAGCGCTGAATAATACAGCTCTTGAGTGAAATTAGCAGGGTGGAGAGAGGGGGCAGGAGGGCTTGGATGCCAGCAGCGCTGCGGAGGAGGTGGGGCCGAGGTGCACCCAGGCTGGTAGGAGGCCCTGGAACATTTTGCAAACAGAGGTATCTGACCTACGAGGTTCCTGATACAAAGAGGGAGCAGGGAGTTGGAACTGCTTGGGTGTGTGTGTAACGCTCATCACCCAGGGAGGCAGCAGGGATGGTGTCCGGAGCCGGGAAGCGCACACACGCGTGCACACATACACACACGTGCCGACAAGCAGCCCAGGCACGTGCCCACACCGGGAGACTGCCTCAAGGGTGCTTTGCCTGCTTTCTCGTGCTGTTCGTGACCTTTCGGCAGGGGTGGCCTCTGAACAACACTTCTCTCTTGTAAGTGGGTGTTTTAAGGTATGTTTAGCATCTTCCAGCCTATCATTGAGAGACGTGTAGGGCATGTCCCAGGCCTGCTTTTAGAAAGCCTTTCCGAGGCTTTGGGTTGGTACCAACACTCCCCCAGCCCCGGAATGTGGTGTTTCGGGTCTCCTGGTCAGCACAAATCTGTTTTCTCTCCCTTTTTTTCCAAATCAGTCTTTTCTTAAAAGGTGGTTTTCACATTACAGAACTACAGAAGTTGTTGTGAAAGCTTGATCTACAAACCCCCCGCCCCATGCTTTTCTTGGCAGAATCTGACACCTCTCTTTCCGTTTCTAAGGTTAGTTCTGGAGGAACCTCTTCAGCTTCTCCCTTAAAAAGACCTTCTCCCTGGTTCTACCTGCAGGCGTAAACAAACCTCCTGGCTGCTCTGTCTCTGCCTTTCACTTTCCCTAAGTTTCTTGTCCAGTGTTTCAAAGGCATGTGCACAGATGAACAAAAAAAGACTCCGAGGGTTGTGCCTCTCCTTTTACAAGGTTTGCTGGTGGCCTGATTCTGTCCCTCCATGGCTCTCTGACTGGAAGCAGTTTCTTTCCACAAGACACGTTTTCTGATGGTGAGAGCAGCCCTGTCCGGGACCGGCACTTCTGCTCCAGCACCAGGCAGAGGGGCCAGGTTGTAGGGAGGGCTTTCTGGCAGGAGGCCGCTGGTAGGTATTGTAAAAGCGCTCCCAGGAACTCCCCAGGGCCCCAGAGGGAGCCAGTTAACTGTCACAGTCAGGGGACACCCTGGGCAGTGAGCCACATCCAGAACCAGACGCTACCCAGCTGTTTTTAACCCTCTGAGGAAGCCTCCCCCGAGGGCCAGTGTATGTTTGGGGTGGGGCTCTGTCCTGGCTGCGGCTTTATCCTGGCTGCCTCCGGCTTCTGCACCTCTTGTGTCATTCTCTCTGGTCAGCGTGTCACATCTGTCTCCCCGCCTGAGTGTCCCCTCATGCTGTCTGTTAATGAACAGAGGTTGAAGAACATTAAGATGCTCATGTTTAAGGGGACCTGTTGGGAACAGTGATAACAGACGTTTTCTGAATCCTCCCTGTTCAGAGGTCCTGGGAGGCAGATGCTACATGATTCTTTTTGTACAAGGAAAATGGGATCAGAGAGGCTGAGTGGAATTCCCACGCCTCCTGGCAAGGCTGCCAGGCCCTGGCCAGTCTCCCCTCGTCACCTTCAGCAGCTGTGCCCACCCCTTAGCTCCCCACGCTCCTGCAGCAGAGCGTTTCCAGCCCCCTGCCGGGCTGCAGTCAGGCCAGTGAGCTGGCTTCTGTGCTCAGGATCCCGGGCCTCTGTCACTGCACTCTGCTTCCTGAGAGGCCTGGGCCCATGGGCGGCTCACCTGTGTCTGTGCCTGAGTGAGCCGAGACAGGGGGCCAGGACATGAGCGATTAGAAGCCCTCCCAGAAAAGGCTCAGGATGGCTCCAGGCACCGCCCAGCCTGCCAGCTTTCCCAGGTCACTGGTGCAGCTGTGCATGTAGGAGGCTGGGCCAAGAGTGAGGTGTGTTGGCGGTGCCCGTGGGCCTCCAGCTGAAAAGCTGCTTGGCGCCGGCCCCTGGGGCCGGCGGGCGTTGGGGGCCAGCGAGGTGGTGCTGGAAACTAGGCCGCAGGCCAGGTGCTGCGTGGACACCTGATCCCGCCTCCATCTACTCAGGGAGGGACACGAGACCTGCGGGTGGGCCAGGAGGCTAGGTCAGGCAGGGCTGTGTTGCTTCTCGAGACATCAAGCTTTTCTGTCTCCTCCCACTGGGGCACCCTGCGCCCCAACCCGAGGCCCACAATGGCTTGTCCCAAGTGCACTCCTGGGCCTCACCAAACGGCTTTAGGGAGATCCTGTTCCCTCATTTACCCTCGTCCCTCATGACACAACATCTCCAGGGACAGGGCCAAATGGAGCCGGGGCAGGGGGGCCCGGGCACCACCCCTTCTGTCACCATGCCTCTGCTCTGGCCAAGCCAGAGCCCTTCTTGAGTGGGGCGAGGGCACTGTCCCCAGGTTGGTGGCACTCACCCGGCCAACTTTGGCCCTGCCTCATCCAATGAGTCCGCAGCCCTGGGGCCCTGTGGTTTCCTCTCTTGCCACTGTTAGTGATTTTACTTGCCAGAGCTTAGTAGGTGGAGGGTCTCCAGGGTCCCCCATGCTGTCCTGGAGCCCCCTGAGGTGGTGTCATCACCACGTGGCAGTGAGACTGGTAGGCTGAGCCCTGGGCCACCTTCTGCAGCGAGAGCTGCTGCTGGCACAGGGCTGTGGGGCCAGCTCGGGACCTGGGGAGCCACAGCCACAGCTCGGCCTGCATCGCAGGGTCCAGCCGGGGTCTCAAAGCCCACAGCTCGGTGGGGACCTGGGGTCACCTTTTAGCCAGATGGCGTCTGACCAGCCAGCAGGACTCAGGCAGAGTGACCGCTGCCAGAGTGAGCCGCAGCCCTCAGGCCCATGTCCCGCCCCTACAGGTTCTGCGGGGAGTGCCTCCAGCCCTGCCTGCAGGTGCCGTCCCCCCTGTGCCCGCTCTGCCGCCTGCCCTTCGACCCCAAGAAGGTGGACAAGGCCACCCACGTGGAGAAGCAGCTCTCATCCTGCAAGGCGCCCTGCCGGGGCTGCAATAAGAAGGTACCCCCCAGCCCCAGGCCCCTGGCGGGAAGGGCTGGATGGGGCCGCTCTGACCGGGTTCCGCTCACCAGCACGAGGAACTAGGTGCGTGCCTCCCTTCCTGTTGAGCAACTGGCCACTCCCCTGGCTTCTGGCGGGCCTTCCCCCACACTGGGTGGGCCTAGCCTAGGTGCTGAGCTGAAGCCCACCCTGGACACCCAAGTGACCTGCCCCCTGCAGGTGATGCCAGAGGGGAGGGCGGTGGGGACAGCAGGTGGGGCCGCGGGCAGAACTGGGAGGCTGTTCCCTCCGGCAGCAGAGCCCCCCCACCTCACTGCTCCCTCCGGGTGGATGCACTGCCTCCCGCTGGACCCAGCCCAGGAACAGAGTTTGAACTTAGCTTTCAGATTTCACCATCTCTCGGGTTAACGAGTTCTACCGTCTTACCACATAGGAAGCAGCCCCTGGTTGCTCAGTCCTCAAGGTCAAAGATCTGATTGTCCAGGGGCTGCCCTGGGCCTCCTTTGAGCTCCGGTGCTGCCCCCTCCTGGTGGGAGAACAGACCAGGTTCCTGTGTGAGGGGGCCCTGCCCACGGCCTCAGTGCTGTGGTTCTGCCCAGGTGTGCAGGCCGAGGGGCAGGCCTCACCTGGTGCCCAGCCCTGTGCCAGCAGGGCCTCCTCCTGTAACCCAGATGCCTGGCTCAGCCCCTCACTGCTTCCTTGGTTCTATGAACCGGCTTCCTGCTAGTGAGGTGTCTGCCCCCGGCCTCTCAGCACCTTCACCTGGCAGGATCAGTGGCGCCCACTCCCCAGGGAGGGCTGACCGGGCCTGTCCTACCTCCTGGCTCCCTGTCTGCTCACGGGAGCCAGTGCCCCTTCCCTGTGCTGCTCTGAGATGGTCCCACCTTCAGCCAGAGTGGCGGCCGAGAAGGTCCTGTTTTATTTGGTTTTCTACCTCTTGGTAAGGAGTTTGACTGTCTACAAGGACCTTGCCTGTTGGCTCCCGTTACTAGGGATTTTTTCCCAAATAAACACTCTCCCTGGTCCCTCGTGAGCTGCCCCTCCCTTCCGCAGCTCCCCAGGGACCACAGCAGGGCTGCTCCCATCTAGTGGCTGGTGGCCGACTGCCCCCTGCATGGCTGCAGCTGAGAACTGTGAGCACCAGCTTCTGGTGCAGCTCAGTGGTGCGTCTGGGATCCGGAGTCCCCTTCTCCTGGTGTGTCTTCTCCAGCAGGGGTGCTCGGCCCCCAAGGGAGCCTCCAGAACCCACTTACGCAGCACTGCTGGCTCAGGTGTCAGGAGCTGGACCAGCCTAGCTCGCTGCCAGCGGCTCTTGTCCTCCACTGCCTGACCCCTTCTCTCCTCCGCATCCTCATCCTAGGTGACGCTGGCGAAGATGAGGGTGCACATTTCCTCCTGCGTGAAGGTTCAGGAGCAGATGGCCAACTGTCCGAAGTTCGTCCCCGTGGTGCCCACGTCCCAGCCCATTCCCAGGTAGGCCGCCTCGCCTGGCGCCCAGAGTCTCCACCCTTTGTGGGGCAGCTCCTGGCCAACGTCAAGGGGAAGATGGGAGGGCTGCCATGTCCCCTCTGTGGGGGGGATCACCGCCTGCACATAGGAGACCCAGGAGGGCCCAGGCCAGGCCCACGGTCACCTCCCAGCAGGGGAGTGTGGTCCGCAGACAGGCCAGGACTGGATAGACACTTCCTCTCAGGGCAGGAGGCAGGAGGGCCGGCCTCTGCCACTGGCCCCAGCCACGTCTGGGAAGGAGAGGGGGCCAGGGAGGTCGACTAGGTGGGGGCTGCAGTGGGGCACGCCGAGGAGGGCGGGCCGGCCGGGGCTGGTTGGGGGGGGGGGGCACTGCGCTGACCCCGCCCGCC